GCCGGCAGCGTGCCAGCAGCAGATCGAAAGACAGCGGTATGCTCTTCCTAAAAACGATATCCCCTTTGAATTTTACCTCCAAAACGATATCCAGCTTGCCCTGTAAGCCACCTGTGCCGAGCCCTGATTGCATTTATTTCCTTCTGAGTGTGTTCGATTTAGGTTGTCACGGCTTCTTTGCTAAAAAAAATTTAAAAGCTTGGTTTTCAACAGTTTTTGAAAATGCTTCTAATTTTTTTGTATGCTACCAAAATCAAGCTTTTTGCGTAGTCCCGTAAACTAGATCATGTTCTATACAATATCAAAAAATAAGAGCCTTCAAGAAGGGGAAAGTTACGGGAAAAGTTGCAAAATTTATGTACAAACTCAATATGAAGATCGATCCATAGTTATACGAACACCTCATACTTTGCGGTTCACCGGTTTTAAAATAAATGCAAGAAACCACTAATACCTTGTAAAAGAGCGTAACCGAAAACAACATACGCAGCACAAAAGTGAGATTCGTTGTCAGTCTTGAAAAGCAAAGTGCGCCGAAAATACTTTTTTGACAGTTCATAATTATACGAACCTTAATCAGAGATCTTTTTTCGTTCGATGGTGCAACTCCTAACGTAAAAAATCCCATGTAAAGCTACGACCTTGAAGTCTGAGATACCCACTACACATTAAGCCTGAAAGTACGAAAAGTTTTACCCTACTTTCATAGCTCGATATAGACCAAATCGGCTCCAAAAACCAATGGACCAAGTCGGCCCCAAAAATGCGTGCTTTATTAATATTTCAAACCTTTATTCAGCTCTAACGGTCGAGGATGAAAAACTAATAAATGCGCGTTCTAACGCTTAGAAGCTATTGATGTAATTGTTCCAGTTGCCAACCTAGTCCCAAACTCACCATGGGGTTGGCTCACTTTTGAGACTCAAAATTCGACCTCTGCCGTTTACAAAGTTCTGCGATTTTGTAAGCACATCGGAAACATAATTCTGTGTGCGATGTCCTAGAACTTGTGTTTTGTTTGAGAAACTTAGACGTAGAGCGCTTTGTTTCCATCACACACTCGACATTCAATGAAATGAATAAGCAACTCAACGCAAGCATATGGGCTATATCAACCAGCATCGGTTTGTGACGTCGTGCCTGCGGCAACTTGCGACGATGCGGTGTGACGCGTGCGAACTCTGCCATACGTTAAAGAATGTCTATGCGACGGTGCGTTCTCGCAAGGCATACCAGCGTGGGACCGATGCTGGCTGGACAGCCTATACCTTTTTCTGCTTTTTAGCTCCGAAGCCTCAAGAATAGCTTTTGCGGAGGTCTCACAAACCCTAGTACTGGTATGTTGATGCAAGCGATGATTTGCCTCGTCATCGAACCTTTGCGAATGGCAGAAGTGGAGTCTTGAGTTTCAAAAGTGTGCCAACCCTGTGGTGAAATTGGCAAGTGGGACAATTACATTGATATTTTTTGAGCGCTAGACCACACATTTATATGTTCCTCATTCCTTAACCTAAAACTGAATAAAGTTTTGAAACCTCATTAAAGCATGCATTTTTTGGCGGACTTGGTCCGCAGTCATTTCGAGCTATGATAGTAGGTAGAATTTTTGGGTGTAGGCCCTTTTGAACCCTTTGCGCGCGCACGAAAGATGTACAAAAATGAACGAGTATTAACTCGCTATAGCAGTGGACACGTTGACCAATCAGAGGCGCGCTGTGGTAGCGAGCGGTTCAAAAGGGCCGTTTCCCGAATTTTTCATTTATCAGGTCCAATGCGTTGTAGGTAACTCGGACTTCAAATTCGTAGCCTACATGGGATTTAAAATGTTAAAGTTGCACCATGGAAGAAGATCGATTGAGGTTCGTATAATTATGAACCGGCTCAAAACTTCCGCCGACAATGCTTCTCCGAAATTGGTAGTGAATTTCATTTTTGTGCCGCGTATATTGTTTTCGGCTACGCTCTTTCACATGATGTTAACGGTTTCTTGCATTTCTTCCAAAACGGCAGAATATGAGGTGTTCGTATTGTTGTGAACCGATCTTTATTAGATCCTTGCGGAAGTTCTTTCCGTACTTTAACTGTCATAGAAACACGTGGTGAAGACTGCCAATCATCAAAGGTATTTGATTCAGTAGTTCCTCTTTGCAACAGTTACATTTGCAAATCATTTGCTTTCGTGGTCAATAAACGCCGAAATTTCGAATCCAAGATTGCCATACCTAACAATATACAACGCAAGAAATGTTTTAGGCGCCTTCAACAAACTTTCCCGTATTTTACAAAGCAATTTTTCCAAAAATATTCTCTTTTGTAATGTCGTGTGATACACGAACGCATCAAACACTGAGAGTGTTCGTGATTTAACAGCTACAAAACTTTTTGATTTGAAAACTAATTTTATAGAGCGTAGGCGTTCATGAACGTCCACTGCTTAAGATAATTTCAGGTGCAACGGTTTAGACGCATCCACACACAACTAAGATGATCTCCTAGGAAGTTGCCAAATATGGATGGATACGCTCATGTCGGGAATAGAAGAAAAAACTGCATCGAGCAATACCCTATTTGCTTGCCAATTGCTGTTCTGTAGATTTGGCTTGACCAAATATGCAGTTTGTTGACATAAAAAAACAAATTTGGTAACTTTGGAAAGGCAGCCTGGAGATACCAAAAGGATTTGTGTTTTGCACTTGTGTGCTCTTTCCAGCGGTTATCGAGCTTCTTCTAGAAGTTCTAAGAACTTGACAATTGCCAAACTTGGGCATGGTAAAAACCCTAGATTAGAAATTTCTGCAGAACCTTAGTACTCAGAAGCAAGTAGTCCGCATTGATTGCTGAAAGGAGCAGAAAAAACTGATTCAAAGAGTTCAAAGTGTTACTTTTTCATACCACATGCTTTATGATAAGTCGAATTAATTTTAAATTTCCTTTTTTAATTATCAAATTTTTTGAGTCAAATGCACCTTATAGAAGACGAAAGTTGGTTTCTTATATAGATAATTACTGGAATCTCAAGAATCTGATCAAGTATTGTTGAATGACTAAAATAATGTTTCACTTCTGGCGTTCTTACAAAATGCTGATATGAATGCCCTGATAAAAAACAGTACAATACCGCTCACATTTTTTATGATTAGACGCAAATGTATGGACATGTATGGACATGTATGGAGATGTAGCGACATGTCCATACATGTCCATACATTCGCGTCTATTTTCCAAAAAATATGAGCGGTATTGTACTGCTTACGCTTTCACAAAGTTGCAGTAAAGAAAGTTTTATCAAAAGGAGTGATAAACTCAAGGGATAGTACTTATATTGCTCGTCGGACTTTGGGAACCGATCTAAGAATTGGGACCTCAGAAACAACCTAATGCAACATTTTTACTGGCGATTATGCCTCGCAAATCATAATCTTGAAAATTACGTTAGACGAATTCACGTCCCTCTTGCTAAGTCAGTCGATAGGTACAATTTGCTACTTTCATATCGCCGATGCTAAAATAATTTCATGGATCTTTCACAGATATTGCAGCACACCATTAATGAGATTCGCCTGCCTCAAAAATGGATTCTGGATCGTGCACTGCACAGTTTAATGCCAATAATGACATCTGAGTGGCTACCTGTAGCAGTGTTACGAAAAAAAATTCACTTTTATCTATTACGATACGTCTTGACTTTGTCGATGTTGGTCTATTGGTTCGGTGTAAAATTTTTGTCAGTTTTTTTGGAATAACCCAGTAATCCTGTGAATAAAGATCCACAAACACTTTAAAGGCAGCATACACCCAAAACTGCAGTTGCAGATGCAACAGCAGTTGCAACAGCAACTGCAAATGCAATTGCAGCTTACGCTGCCATGGATTCGTCCGGAGGAGGCGGAGTGAAAGAAAAGGGGCGGAGTGAAGGAAAATTGAGGGGGGTTTTCTCCGCTTAGAAGCAACATTGGAAGACCGGACCAACGCAGTTGGTCTCCTTCTGGGCCCAGTATATACACGGTATAGAAAGATCTAGAAAATTAGGTAACTCAAATTTTGGGTGTACGCTGCCTTTAAGCTGTGCCTAATGCAGTTTTCTTTCTCTTTTCAGCCTCTATATTTCCATTTTAATTTGTTGAAAGGGTGCTGAGATAATTGCTGGAAATTACAACCTTTTTTCTCACCATGTCCAACTACCGCTCATTTTCTAAATTTTCATTCGAGTCTTTTAGGGGAGATATAGTCAGCACTACTGCAGACCTTTTGCCAACTAACATGCTAATTAAGTTTCCGAAAGTCTAAATCTTGGAAAAATCGCATAACTTGTTATTGCGCCAAACATTGCAGAATTTTCAGAATAGCGAGGTTTCAAAACTCGATCTTTACTATTACTTACACCTTACAAAGTACTTAAGCGTTCCGCTTCAAAATATGAAGATTTTGAAACTTATTATACGTCAGTGCGCACTCGTGAAATCAAAAATACTGAAATTCTGCCTCAAATTTTGCCTGTCACGCCAAGAGAAGCCAACTGTTGAAAGGGGGAGACAAAGTTTCATCGAATGGCACTTGAACTGTCCATCATTTTATGTTCTACGGGGGTAGTAAGCCAACAAAATGTAGTCACTTCAAAGAATATATTTTGGAAATTGAAAAGTTTTGTGTTGATGAGTTACACCTTTTTTGTTCACAGCTATGCTTTGATACCAAAGTTTAGATGCTGATTCGCTGATGCAAAAATTTGTTGATTTTTCGCTGATTGAACGCTGCAAAGTTAACTGTGTCCCCTTATTTCCGTCATAGTTCTTTCTATTCAAACGTTCATTAGCTACAGCGCAAATGCTAGTGCACAAGTACGCCATTGTGGATTCGTAGCCCTCCGATACTGCAAATATTTGGTAGCCAAAAAAAGCCCTTTTGTAACAATCGTGACATTAAACATGGGAGATGTGCAGGAAAGCTCAACAATAGCCGAGTAGCAGTTAAATGTTCAGCTGAGTGGTGACTGAGAACATATGTTGTCAAAAATATTTGCCAATAGCTTCCTTTTTCTTGCCGTAAGTTAGGAAACATTCAGTAGTCTTGACTCACTAATCAAGTTTCAGGTACCAGTCTTGACTAATCCAGTTTTAAAAACTGAACAGGAGTTGGACCCCGTTGAGGTTAAGGCTATCGATACGTGTTACGGTACTGGGTCAAAAGAAGCGAACTGGAATAAACACGTTTTATCTAGATGTGAAAGAGCCATGGTTTGTCCTACTAATTTCACACCATATAGCAAACAATTTACAGTTGCAGACATTTTGTTGCGCTTGCGGAGATCCTGTGGTAACTATGGAAGGCCTTAACTGGCCAACCGGAGTAGGCGAGCGCTTCATATCTGTTGTGTTTACCAGAGAAGATGGAGTATACGAATCAGTCGGGTTTGTTGCACTTCAGTTGCTCGTTAATTTAGCATACTTTTCATTTTTCAGGGTAGTTGACCAAGAAAGAGATAAAAAATTTGACGATACAATTGTGAAGGTGAGGAGCCATTTTTACGTTTTGACGGAAAAAGCTTTTGCGTTATACAGCCATTCTTAGAAACTCCAAAATTTGGTGCAAGCTAAGGTAAACCTATTAAGCAAATAAATTAGTATTCGGATCTATCTGTACATTTAGCAGCGATTAATTTTGCCATCTTTTGCATTCTACCAAGTTTTTGTCAATGAAGGTGTACATATGTGTGCACAGCCACAGAAAACGTTCTTCCAGGTATTACAACATCGAGACGCGAGTGAAAACAAGAAAGTTAAGTTCAATTGCAAATTAATCACTGATGGTCAAGAATTAAAATGTATATTTGAAAAGCACGGACCTGGTTGTGACTGTTCACGTGGTGAAAAACCACTTAATTGAAGTTGTACACAAAACATTGTCTTTTACTTACTTATTTCGCTATCAAAATATGATAAATGTTCAAGAGTACTTTGTAAGACTTCGTATTTTGGTGCAAAAACTTCACTTACTTTAGTTTCAGTTCCTTAATCATCTACTGTGTTGATATTTATTTATTTATTTATTTCTGCACGTATGTGCGCTACAACAAAAACTGAAAGTTAGAGCGTCCAACTCAACGAACTCAAAGAGGGGTTAGTAACATTTAATAGGCAAATGGACACAGCTGGGAATACAGGCTTTCATAAAATCAAGCTCGTTACCGCTAGGACTAAGCCGTGGTCTTCCCAAGAGTAAATATAGATGATAGTCTGTGGAAAATGCATGTCCATCAGGGCCTGGCATAAGTGGCTTACGGGGCAAGCTGGATATCTTTTCGGGGTAAAAGCAAGAGGGATATCATTTAGGGAAACCTCACCCCCCTCCTCTCCCACAATCACTTTCTACCTCTTGTGTCACCCTTCATCTTCTTTAGATGACGCAGATTGTTATTCCTGTCTTATCAATCCCATTCCTGCAAAAACTAGAAAATTTCTGTTTCAACAGGTTTGCCGGTTAAGCGCGCGAATTCAAATCCCGCCCCGAAATAAACAAAATTCTTGTTTACCGCAAAGATGAAATGAAATGACACCAAAATTGGTGTGTAGATGGGCAACAGGGAGCTAGGACTATGAAGAAGATTATGAAAAAGTTATGTGAGCGCTGAAGGCGTGGAAAAGTTTTTCGTACTTAGATGGCTTTCCAGTCATTTGGACAGCCTCATGAGGTGTTTTTGAAAAGAAAAGGTTGTAAATTTCTCCTTTACATAATTTTTCACATGTTTAGCACAACTTTGTTCTACGAAAACCCTACAAATGAGTCTTTAAATCTCTCCAAAACCCCTCCTTCTCGCCTAGTTACAGCCCTTCAGATACTTTGTATGAGCAGCAAGCCTGCTCCAAACGCGCAGTGGTGCGCGCTGGACACAGCATGCCGTTAGTTCGAAGAATACGGCTTTTAGTCGTATTAACTCCTATTAGCTTTTCTAGTTCTTTTTCGTATGTTCAAAGTTGTTTTTAAGTTTTGTTCCATTATTTTGTTATTCGTGTTGGATTCATTCATGATCGCGTCATAGATCATGTCGTATTTTTATGGCGAAGTCTATGGGGACGTTTGAGAAAAATGAAAAAGCCAACTCATGCCGAGCCCTGATTCCGTTGAAAGTAAATGCAAATAAAATAGATGCTTTTTCAGCATGAGAAGAGCAAAAAATCATTCCTCTTTACAGAATAGGAGAATTAATGATCGGGATATTCTAACCTCCTCAAAAATGAAATAACAGATTGTGATGCCATTCGATACAGCTTCTTTTCGTCTCTCTGGTACTTTTTTCGTTGCGTTGCGAAAAATGCGACTCTTTCGGGAAAAACCGCCATATTTCTCAATCCTACAGTTGCACCCTGCTGTACCTCATATGTCGATCTTCTACATAATTGAAACCGCCGATTTAGCTTCTAAAGTCAGTACTAGTGGCCGAATTTTGAAAACTCAATCTGAAGATCTTACGAAGTTTGGTGCATCTATGTGTTATGCGATTTTTTTTACAACTCTAGAGTTTTGCAGAATTATTTAGCAGAACTCCAGAAAGCATGCCACAGACATGCAAAAAATTCATCCATCTGCGAACGGTTTCCCTCATCATGGTTATTAGAGCATATTCAAAAGTCTCAAAATCTCTAAAGATTAGCAAGAATAGCGTGTCAAAAATGAAGGGTAGAAACCTTCGGTGATTATCCTCCTACCTCCCGCATGGTCGCTTCAAGCAAGTAACTGGTGGAACGAGGAAGAACCTCTGCGTCGAACACTGCTTGAAGTATCTGTTTATCTTCACATCACGGGTCTGTAGATTGGTCCAAAGCAGAAGGAACTTTTGCACCACCTAATGTTCTCAGGTGCAGTAAATAGCCTCCCTCCAATGGTCTATTGTATTCCTATATGGTGCCTTTGCATAGAACAATACTGTTTCATTTTAGCATTTCGAAATCAAAATTTACATGATAAATGCCTTCTGAAAACGGAAAACTACCCTAATTTCCGCGTACAAAGCGCACCTTTTTTGATTTTTCGACTAAGCCCCTCAGCCGCTTGAAGTTATTCCGGAAAGCGATCCTTATGCCGTACGTTTCTCTAAAAGGTAGCGCCCACCCAGAATTTGGCCCCCCATGTTTTCGGGGCCTTTCCGTGGCCCTGATTACAGTTCCGAACTTCCAACTCCCCAAAATTCGAAAAAAAACCCCGATTTTTGGGGACCTTGTCTTAGGGACGCGGACGAGTTTTGATTTGCTCGTCCCCGTCGGAAGGCCAGCGGGGAGGAGCTGCAACTGCATGGGTGCAGTTGCATTGCAGTATGCAGTGTGCAGTTTCTGCTCCCTACCATGTCAATATACGTGTCGGGAGGCAGTCCCTGGTGGGCGGAGTCTGATATCAGACTCCGCCCAAACAGGGATTTTCAGGCCCCATTCATCGACAACGTTAGAAGACCGGACCAACGCAGATGCCTCTTTTCTGAGGCCTACAATCAGGATCGACACTAATCGGAGGGGGTTAGGTTTAGCCTGAACACTGCCTTTAAGCAATATACAGCAAGGCATACGATCCTTTGGTTGCGAAGTTCTTTGGCGTATTTGGGCTGGTCGATTTTGGAAAAAATCTCCCGCGCTTTGTATCCGGGTATCCTTGAAGCAGTGTCTCACCAAAATTTAGTTGCCGAGATTTTTGCATTTTGCAAGCCTGTCGGATCTTGTCTAGCACTGTATGGGCTTAAAATCGCACGAAGTTCCCAAAAACCCCATTTTCTGGAGGCCCCGTGGAAGCAACATGGACGAGTTGTACCTTCCAACCTCAGCCTCAGCCACAGTGGCAGCAACAGAGGGAAGGTGGATGCCAAGTGGACGGACACGTTTAAACGCGTAAGGGGGGAGACCGAAGGAGTCGTTCGCGCGTACCAAGTCGCTCTCCGCGTACCACTTTGAGCGAATTTTTCTCAGCGTGTAGGGGGTGAAATTGAGTGGCACTTGTTGCAATGGCCTAGGTGCCTGTAATAGAATATGTGGAGATCCGCGCGACCTCAACTTTGGTGAGACACTGCCTTTAAACAATGTAATGCGGAAAACCCCATATTTTCAGCATTTCCGCAGCCTTTTGCAGGGCGACTCGGTGCAAAAGCTGCGAAAGTGCTGCGAAATTTCCCTTCAGTTGTCTGAGTATGCTTTTGCACGTAGTATCGTAGTTTTTTAAATTCTTCCAAAAAGACTGAACTTCCATAATATATTGTATTCGTATAATTGTGAACGCGCTTTACGAATGATTTTCTTCTACTAGGTTGATGCATAATTCTCGCACCAAAATTTTAAAAATTCTGTTGCTTTATCCAGCTGCGATGGAATTTTCTGGTTCGATACATAGTAGAAAGAGCAAGACTTGCGATTTCTGACGGTGCTCGAGCCAAAAGTTCTTGAGGGCATATGGCAGCGATACAAGGTGAATAAGAAAAATACCCAAAAGAAACACCCAAAATGTGATTTTTCGATCTTTTCTCACTAAAATTGCTAAAACGTCTAATAGAATTCAAACTTATTTTTAATCTAAGTTTTATGGCATGCTCTTTTTAACTAAGAGAAGTTGGTAGTGATTGGATGTCTCTGCGAATATTTACGAATTTCGATTTTTTGAAATGACTTATCGATTTTGTTTTAAATTGTCAGAGGGCGCGGATCACCGACCTACCGATCTCCAGTAGCGGGAAGAAAAGCCCGCGGTGACCCCTTCGGCAGGGTATAGATACCGGGAGTCAGGGGGAGGCCTCAGAGTCCGCGCTGAGGAAGCGCTAGCGGGAGCTAACTCCTTCGAAGAGAGGCGGATCTCCCCCTTAGATAGAAAGTAACCAGTAAGCCTGCCGAAGTGGTCAAGAGGGTAAAGCCCGTCGTTTCGTTGTTTAGCCTTGTTCGAGTTACGCATTGTTGTTTCTTGTTGTTCGTTGCCGTTTTTTTCTGAGATAAACTATTAGTCGTTCAATCCGTGTTGTCTATCATTTCGGTTAAAACCGTTATACCACTAGGCACCCCCGGTTACAAAATTGATTTCCCAAAATGTACTATAAAATACTACTTTTGATATATGTAACATAGAGCAGAACATGTGAGTTGAATAGTTTGTTTAAGCATTTTCTAAAATAATTTTTTTTGTATTTTCTGGTGCAAGAATTGTGCATCAACCCAATAATTGCGCACATAAAATTCCGCTATAAAAGCTCTTATATTCCTTGCCCAACTTGTCATCCGACGATCCACTTATACGCAGGGCTCGGCACGAGGTGGCTAGTTGAAAATGCAAAAAACGAAGTCCCCCTTGACTTCGCCATAAAAGTACGACATCCCCCTTGACACTCTAACGAACAAATCAAACATGAAAACAAAAAGAATGAAATAGAATACAAGACCGATAATAAATAGGCAATAAGAACTACTGATTGTATGTATTCTCCGGGTTGGCAGCATGCTGTGTCCGCCGCGCACCACCGCGAGCTTGGAGCACCTTCGCCGCTGCCACCCAGATAATTTAGAGGGCTATAACTAGGCGAGGAGGAGAGAGTTTGGGAGGTACAAGAGCTGTTTTGTAGAGTATTAGATGTAGA